CCAGGGTCAATTCCAACTGTATTAAACAGATAACTATGCTGGGCCAAATACTTGCTCCCAAAGCCAAGTTTTCACTTGTTTGCAAAATGACAGGAAAGGGGCCAATCAAATCACACTAGGGACGGAGTTCCACAGCTGAGGTGCCACCACTGAGAAGGCCCTGTTTCTCGTCACCACCGGTCGCACCTGCGAAGGTGGTGGGACCAAGAGCAGGGCCTCCCCAGAAGATCTTAACCTCTGTGATGACTCATAGAGGGAGATGTGTTCGAACAGATAAGTTGAGCCGGGGCCATTCAGGGATTTATAGGCCAAAGCCAGTACTTTGAATTATGCTTGGTAGCAAACTGGCAGCCAGTGGATCTGGCACAACAGGGGGGTTATGTGCTCCCTGGATGCTGCTCCTGTTAGTGATCTGACTGCCACACATTGGACTAGTTGAAGCTTCTGAACAGTCTTCAAAGGCAATCCCATGTAGAGTGCATTGCAGTAGTCTATACGAGATGCAACCAGCGCATGGATCACCGTGGCCAAGTCTGACTTCCCAAGGTACGGGCACAACTGGCACACAAGTTTTAATTGGGCAAAAGCTACTGCTGAGACCTGGGGTTCCAGGCTCAGTGATGAGTCCAGGAGAACTCTCAAGCTGCGAACCTGCGCATTCAGGGGGAGTGTAACCCCATCCAGCAAAGGAGTGTCCCTGAGCCCCATTTCCACGAGGCATCCCGAAGGATACGGTGGTCTAAGCTATCAAAGGCTGCTGAGGGTTAAATAAATGGGGGAAGAACTCAGAAAGCATGGCGTAGTGGTTTGAACTTCAGGGTACTTCAAGACAGCAGCAATCATGGGTTTTAGTCAAGAGGCAAAAAAACCCAAAAAAAAAACCCCAGGACCTTAGAAGCTCCTAAGATGGCTGCCACGGGGATGTCCACCAGAAACTTCAACTTAATATGTAAATATGTGAATCATTGTATAAGTTCTGTTCCTTGGTTATAGAGGCTGCGTGGCCATCTGTGCATACAAGTTTGGACATGTATTGTGCCTGGGAACAACAGGGTGATGTTCCTGGGTTATACATGTCTGTTCCTCATTGCTTTTATCATAAAAACATGGAGAAAACTGATTACATGGCAACACCTTCATTTGTTTGTTACAAACTTCATTAAACATGTGGAGGACGAAGTTTCTCTTGCCAGGATAAAGTTTTCGCCCTCTAGTCAACTGTTGCCATGTTTTTAGGATACAACCAACCAGGAACACACATGTATAACCTGGGAACAAACCAACATTAAAAATCCCGTATTTTCCTAGTGTAGGGACATACAGAGATTTGAATATCCGCATTTTCCAGCCAGAACCAGGATATTCCCGCAACTGAAAATTTCGTGTTTTGTGCCGTTTGAAACTATTGTTCCAGTGTTTTCAGGGACTGGCATTTGGCCACCCTCCATTTTGATGCGGGACCTCCTGGAATACAGGTACTGTTTGGATGGGCCCACAGACTTTGATTCTAAACCCACTGGGTGACTTTAGCTAAGTCCCACTCTCTCAGCCTCAGATGAAGACAAAGGCAAATCTTCTTCAAAAAAATTTGACAAGAAAACTATGTAAGAGGGTTGCCTTAGGGTCACCCTAAGTCTGAAATGACTTGAAGGCACACAGAAAGAGCAACAAACTATAGACCCCCCCCCCCCAACAGTCTGAGAGAACAGGAATTGGCCTTCTGTTTCTAAAGATTGAGGACCCCTGGTGTATAATGATGCACATATACTACTGCTTAGTGTACATAATGGCTTTGAATGTGAAAAATATTGCATTAAAATTTTTGGAAACTTCTCAACATACTAACAAATTAAAATGCATGAATTAGGGGCTATTTTTGACAGCACCAATGGCAAAACCATTAATTTTTGCCCTCTCATGTTTCTTTCATAATAACTTTCTTAGCCCCCCCCCCCCCCCCAATTACTCCAATGCACATTCCTGCACAGGCACATATAATCATATTTACAAAAGACAATATTTCCTTTGTGCATCTGATCAATTAATAAGAATCCTAGGCACATTTACTTAGAAACAAGTCCATTGGGACTGCGTCCTGCAGCAGGAACATACAACCACAGCCCTAAATTCACATGATCAATAGAGTATGATTTCTCAAAACATAGGGACAACCCTTCGAAGAAGCTAGATGCCGATCTATATCTGAAGCTCTAGTATTTTCCCCTAAGGACACAACAATTTCTCCCAATATTTACCACATAACTGCCTGCTGCCAAGATAACATTACTATAGTTCTCTTTCTCTGCCAGAAATTACAAATTCTCCATAACACACTTATGACATTATAATACGACAGTGAGAAAAAGTTCCCAAAAAGGAAGAGCTGAGCTCACTAGAAGCCAAAATGAAGGAACGAAAGCCATCATTATTGTTGAACTAACTCAACGAAGCCACACCAGCCCTGACTTTGCAAGCCTCGAACAGGACCATTAAGAAAAGAGTCGCTTAGAGACCTCTCATGTAAAGCGTGATGGCAAATTGTCAGTACACAAAAAAACAACAAAAAACAGTTTTCAGCTAAAGCTTTCAAACTACATCATTTACTTGTTCCGAGTAATATAGCCTATGCAACCATCTGGCCTTTTCACTAATTTTTGACCTGCCGACCTAAAGCAATTTGAAGTCAGTTGATGCAAGCAGTCATCCTGGCATCCTCTTATACAGTAGAAGAGATCAAGAGGGAAATGAAACATTATTTGTTCCAACACACAAATGAGTTTAATATTAGAGAAAATGTTGTACTACACTCTAGTCCAGGGGTCCTCAAACTAAGGCCCGGGGGCCAGATGTGGCCCTCCAAGGTCATTTACCCGGCCCTCGCTCAGGGTCAACCTAAGTTTGTAACGACTTGAAAGCACACAACAACGACAACAACAACAACAATCCTATCTCATCAGCCAAAAGCAGGCCCACACTTCCCATTGAAATACTAATAAATTTATATCTGTTAAAATGGTTATTAATTTTAATTATTGTATTGTTTTTAAGTGGGGGTTTTTTGCACTACAAATAAGAGATGTGCAGTGTGCATAAGAATTCATTCTTTTTTTTCAAATTATAATCCGGCCCTCCAACAGTTTAAGGGACTGTGACCTGGCCCTCTGTTTAAAAGGTTTGAGGACCCCTGCTCTAGTCTCACAGATTCCCCTCCAAATGGTAATTTCACCAATATGCTATGCAGTCACACAGTGAAAGTCATTTAAAGCCTCATTGTTTTCCCAGGGAGTGGCTGAAGCCCATGCTAAATTCTCTCACTGTGATCAAGGGGATTTCAAACAGTTTCTTCTACTTCGATGATGCCTATGCATTCAATTTTCCTTTTAAACAACTCACAAATGCACCACCACAATGATGATCTGCAAGAGCCTTCAAAACTACAGTACTTATTTTTAGATCACTCTCACAATAAAACACACTAGATGTCCCACCTCATCACCTAATTCAACCTACTCACAAAGGTATATGTTCGCTATTTTATTGATAATTGAGATCAAGGGATGAGGTTTAAAAAGATGAAAACTCAAAAAAGATGAGGAGAGAAGCCAGAAGACTCTATTATTTTCTGTGCACCACTGATATTATTAATATGCCTATCAGCTTTTCATTAGGTTTCAATACAGACCTCCTATTGGTCACAGAAAGCAAACTGAGGCTGGGTCTATACTGCCATATACTCCAATTTCTGATCCCAGATTATCTGCTTTGAACTATATTATATGAGTCCACACTGCCATATAATCCAGTTCAAATCAGATAATCTGGATTCAGAAACTGGATCATATGGCAGTGTAATTAGGATCTGAGAAAATATTGCCACAAACTGTAGAATTGGTTGAGACTCGATGAGACATTCATTTAGAAACTATAGTAAAATATACTGCAGGATGTCCGACAAAACAAAGTTTTTGCAATTTGATAAACCTTTTCCATGTTTTAATGATAGAAGCAATTAAGAAATGACATTTATAACTCAGGAACAAAAATCGTGCTACATAGATCCCTTCTACACTGCCATATACATAGTCCAGATCATCAAAGCAGATAATCCACATTATTTGCTTTGAACTGGATTATATGAACCTACAATATAATATAATCCAGTTCAAAGCAGGTAACCTAGATTTTATATGGCAGTGTAGAAGGGGGCCCACACCCAGGATCTGATCTGAAATTATCCGCTTTAAACTGGATTATATGAGTCTACACTGCCAGATAATCTGAGATAAATAATAATCTGGGATCAGATCCTGGGAAACAGGGGCAGTGTGAAAGGGCCCAGAGGCCCCTTTCTACACAGCTGTATAAAATCCCACATTATCTGCTTTGAACTGGATTATATGGCAGTGTGGACTCAAATAGCCCAGTTCAAAGCAGATATTGTGAAGTATCTGCCTTGATATTCTGGTTTATATGTATGGGTCTAGAGTCTACTGTAGTCTTAATTATATTTTGACCAAATATGGCCACCCCAAAAAAGGGGAAGGGAGCTATTTCTCCCTGCTTCCTGCCCAATTCCCAAAGTAAAATGATGCAGGGACAACTTTACTGAACAGAGACCTCATTTTCTGCTTTAAACTGGATAATGTATATGGCAGTGCGGACTCAGATAACCCAGTTCAAAGCAGATATTGTGGATTATCTGATTTGATAATCTGGATTATATGGCAGTATAGAAGGGTCCAGAGAAGCATCCTGAGGTCCCTTCCACAGAGCCCTATATCAAGGCAGAAAATCCTACAATATCTGCTTTGAACTGGGTTATCTGAGTCCACACTCAGATAATGTGGGGATTTCCTGCCTTGATATTCGGGGATATAGGGCTGTGTGGAAGGGCCCTGGCTCCACACTGCCATATCATTCAGGTCAATGTGAATTTTATACAGCTGTGTGGAAGGGCCCTGAGAGCTGGAAAGGAGGGATAAACCGAAGCAAAGCCACACCTGTTGCAGTCCTGCCCACTGCTCTGCTCCTAATGGGCTCAGCGAGCTTCAGGCGCAGAAGGACTACACCTCCCGTCAGGCCTCAGCAACTTCCGGTTAGGACACTTGTCAGGCCTCAGCACCACGAGCAACTTCCGGTCGGCGAGTCTTGTCCCTCCATCCCCTCAGGGGGCCGTTCCCATGGCTACCAATGGCCCAAGGCTCCCTCAGAAAAGGCACCCCTGTGGAATGTGGGCCTGCTCTCAGGCTCGGAAAGGCTTCTCGAGGCTAAAGAGCGCCTCAGGAGACTCCCCCGGCGGTAGGAAGCCGCCCCTTCCTTCTTTCCTCGGGCCCGGCGGCTTGGCCTCCTCACTTCAGGAAAGAAAAAGGCGGGCGGGCGGGCAAGCAGGCCGAGAAGGTTCGCGTCATCGGCGCTCGATAGAAGCTGCCTGCCCCTTTCAGCGTGGCCTTCTCCAGGCAACTGCCCAGGCGAGCGGGCTGAGCGCCGAGCTCCTCGAGCAGCGCGAAACGCAAGCGGGCCCTGTCACGTGACCAAAGCCAGGTGGTAGGTTTGTTGTGCTCCCACCCCATGTGCTAGGCAGAGCAGCGCATGCGCAGTGTCATGACACCCTGGCCCTACGAGTTGGAGGGGTGAGCGATGGTTCTGGGAGGTGCAGAGTGTAGAATCTGTGCAGGTCGACAGTCCTTCGGCTGCGGTGGATCAGAGCTATGGAAGCTTGAGAGTTGTAGTTTGGGGAGGTCTTTAGCAGAGGATATTCAAGTCCTTGGAAAGCTACAACTCTCAGGAGCCCATAGCATTGAGCTGTGGCAATTCAAGTAGGGTCAAACTGCATTCATTCATTATGTAAAAGCAGCAGCCTTGAGTTCAGTGTAGACATCTTCCAAGGCTATACCGTTAAATTATACTATGTATCTTATTTCACATGCCAGTAAGGTAATGCTCAAGATCCTGCAAGGAAGACTCCAGCAATACATGGAGAGAGGGTTGCCAGATGTACAAGCCGGATTTGGAAAAGGCAGAGGAACGAGAGACCAAATTGCCAATATCCGCTGGATAATGGAGAGAGGCAAGGAATTTCAGAAAAACATCTATCTCTGTTTTACAGACTATTCTAAAACCCTTGACTGTGTGGATCATAATAAATTGTAGCAAATTCTTGGTGGTATGGGCATACCAAGCCACCGTGTCTCTCTCCTAAGAAATCTGTATAATGACCAAGTAGCAACAGTAAGAACTGACCATGGAACAACAAACTGGTTCAATATTGGGAAAGGCTTAGGGCAGGGTTGTATACTCTCACCAAACCTATTCAACTTGTATGCAGAACACATCATGTGATATGCAGGGCTTGACGAATGCAAGTCTGGGAGAAACATTGTTGTTGTTGTTCATTCGTTCAGTCGTCTCCGACTCTTCGTGACCTCATGGACCAGCCCACGCCAGAGCTCCCTGTCGGCCGTTACCATCCCCAGCTCCCTCAAGGTCAGTCCAGTCACTTCAAGGATGCCATCCATCCATCTTGCCCTTGGTCGGCCCCTCTTCCTTTTGCCTTCCACTTTCCCCAGCATAATTGTCTTCTCTAGGCTTTCCTGTCTCCTCATGATGTGGCCAAAGTACTTCAACTTTGTCTCTAGTATCCTTCCCTCCAGTGAGCAGTCGGGCTTTATTTCCTGGAGGATGGACTGGTTGGATCTTCTCGCAGTCCAAGGCACTCTCAGAACTTTCCTTCAACACCACAGCTCAAAAGCATCGATCTTCCTTCGCTCAGCCTTCCCGAAGGTCCAGCTCTCACATCCGTAGGTTACTACAGGGAATACCATGGCTTTGACTAGGCGGATCTTTGTTGCCAGTCTGATGTCTCTACTCTTTACTATTTTATCGAGACTGGACATTGCTCTCCTCCCAAGAAGTAAGCGTCTTCTGATTTCCTGGCCACAGTCTGCATCTGCAGTAATCTTTGCACCTAGAAATACAAAGTCTGTCACGGCCTCCACGTTTTCTCCCTCTATTTTCCAGTTGTCAATCATTCTTGTTGCCATAATCTTGGTTTTTTTGACGTTTGACGTGGAGAAACATTAGATATGCCTTATATGCTGGAAGAAACCTGAGGTATGCAGATGATACCACTTTGATGGCCGAAAGTGAGGAGGAACTGAGGATCCTTCTAATCAAGATGAAAGAAAAAAGTGCAAAAGCTGGGTTGCAGTTAAACATTTAAAAAAAAACCAAGATTATGACAACAAGACTGATTGATAACTGGCAAACAGAGGGAGAAAACATGGAGGCAGTGACAGACTTTGTATTTCTAGGTGCAAAGATTACTGCAGATGCAGGCTGCAGCCAGGAAATCAGAAGACGTTTACTTCAGAAGACGATTGGGAGGAGAGCAATGACCAATCTCGATAAAATAGTGAAGAATAGAGACATCACACTGGCAACAAAGATCCACATAGTTAAAGCAACGGTATTCCCCGTAATCACCTACGGATGTGAGAGCTGGACCTTAGGGAAGGCTGAGCAAAGGAAGAGAGATGCTTTTGAACTGTGGTGTTGGAGGAAAGTTCTGAGAGTGCCTTGGACCGCAAGAAGATCCAACCAGTCAATTCTTCAGGAAATAAAGCCCGACTGCTCATTGGAGGGAAGGATATTAGAGGCAAAGATGAAGTACTTTGGCCACATAATGAGAAGAAAGGAAAGTTTAGAGAAGAGTATGATGCTGGGGAAAATGGAAGGAAAAAGGAAGAGGGGCCAATCAAGGGCAAGATGGATGGATAGTATCCTTGAAGTGACTGACTTGACTTTGAAGGAGCTGGGGGTGGTGATGGCCAACAGGGAGCTCTGGTGTGGGCTGGTCCATGAGGTCACGAAGAGTTGGAAGTGACTGAACGAATAAACAACAACATCAAAATGTGAACAATTCTCTGTTCCTGGTTTGAAAGTGTTATTCCTGTTTAATTGTGTGATCCTTACTTTGAAAGTAGTTGTTCTGCTCCAGGCACTTTGTTTTTGTGGCTGCCACAAACTAGGTTGAATTGATTAAGACTTGATGAGATAGTCATTGCAAAACTATAGCAAAATAGGCTGCGGGATGTACCACAAAACAAAGTTTTTGCAGTTTAGCAAACTTTTCCCATGTTTTTATAATAGAGCCAATTAGGAAATAACATTTATAATCAGGAACAAAAATCGTGATACATAGTGTTTATTAAAAATATTGTAAGATATATAATCAAAAGTACTTATTTAATTAGATGTGTTTATTTCATTTATCACTTGTATGCTCCCTTTCCATCCAGAGAATTAAGTTATAAACCCTAACTGTATGTGTGTATTGGTGTATACAGTTAAGGTTTATAACTTAATTCTCTCAATTCTCTGGGTGAAAAGGGAGCATACAAGTGATAAATGAGATAAAAACATCTAATTAAATAAGTACTTTTTATTATAATATATATTTTATTATAATATTTTAATACAACAGTATGTATTATATATACTTTTTTTTGTGATTTTTTTGGTAGGTTGCCTTTTCCCCAATGTCTTTGGGATCCAAAAACATAGAGTTAGAAACCTTAGTATTATACACACACACACACAAATTGATATATGTATTTCATTTGTATGCTGCCTTTCCCCCAGAGCAGGACCCAAAGAGAATTAAATTAAAAACCTTAACAATAATTGTTGTAAAAAAAGTGATTTAAATTCCTCATGTTAAACAGTATACAACCATTTAAAAGCCATACCAAAGAGAAAAGGAAATGAAACAGGCCTCCCAGTGAGAAACTTCCCTGCGTGTAAGCCCATTGTGGGAAGGAGTTGTTTCAGAGGATGGGAGCAGTGGCTGAGAAGGACCAGTCTCTTGTATCCTCACCAAGGGAGGTTGTGATTGTGGCAGGACCAAGAGAAAGGTCATATAGTTCTTACAGTTCTGGCAGGTTGATATAGGGAGACACAGTCCTTCAGATCATGTGGATCTATAGGCCTTTGTAGGTCATGAGCAGCACTTTGATTTGTGTCCAGAATCAAACTGGTAGCCAGTGAAGCCTTTTTTAACAGTGAGTTGCATGTTGGGCACAGCATTTTGGACCCACTGAAATTTTGGAACAGTTTCCAAGGGCAGCCCCACACAGAGTGCATCACAGTAGTCCAAATGGTGTGCATCAATGCGGCCAGATTGAACATCTCAAAGAATGAGTGCCTGTTTAGGTGTGCAAATGCACTCCTGACCACTGTTGAAACCTGGGCATCAAGTCTCAAGAGTTGAGTCCGGGCACATATCTACATGGACCACTTAGATCCGTTTGGAACCCATTTGGGAGAAATTGGTTTAACTCTGAGGATGATTTGATTCCATGTCTCGGTGATTATATTAAACATGGATGGTGGCCTCAAATTGGTTCCAGAATCTGCATTATGTCCAAGTGAGATGCGCATTAGCGCTCCAGAGGCCTAAGAGGGAAAATAAAGGGAAAGTGAGAGTGGTGGATGTAATCAATTATGCATCCCATGGATCAATTAGCTCCCTGCTACCCAGCCATGCCTTTGAGGTTTTTTTTTTTTTGCATCCTGCTTCCCAAATTTTACAAAGCATCATAGGCAGGTGTCTCCAATGCGCTTCACATTCCGTAGAGCTGATTTTCCTTTGCAATGTGGTTGTTTTAGGGCTCACTGTTTAACTCAGAGTCCCCCAACTTTGTGTGGTGTGTTTTACAGACCCTAATTTGTGCTGCAGTGCACTTTCCAGCACAGGCTAAATCTCTATTTCCTAATCTGGAGGGAAGAACAAAATGGTGCCCTTGCCCATTGATCCAGAGATGGCTGGTACACAAAGACCTCTTGTTTGTGCAGGAATCGGCTGCTAAACCACCATGGAGAGGTAGCCATCTAACCTCAATCTGAAAACCAACCAAGGAGAATCCACCACCTTCTGTGGTAGTATACTGTTGAATAACTCTTATCCTCAGGAACATCTTTGTTTAGGTAGAATCTCTTTTTGTGTCATTTGAACCCGTTGGTTTATGTCCCAGTCTCTTGAGCAGTAATAAACAAGCTCGCACCATCTTCTATGTGGCATCCCTTCAGATATTTATAGATAGTGGTTGTACCATCTATGCATCTTCACTTATCCCAGCAAAGCATATCTACCAACCATTCCTCACAGGGTTGGGTTTCTAGGACTCTGACCATCTTGGTGACCCACATCTGGCCATGTTTCTTCTTAAATTGTGGTTTTCACATTTGGACACAGTATTTCAACTGTGGTCTGTAATAGCATTCTGGCAGCTAGCTGTGAATTCAAGATGAAAATGGGAGCACATCACAACTCCCGGTGCTGTCTTGCTTGGAGGACACAAGATTGTGGAACGCACAGCTCGGTCCTCTCTGGTACCTTATTGCCACCATCCAGTATCTCCCATCTTATGCAACTGACTTGTTTTACCTAACAGTAGGGCCAGCTCTATTAGTCCGTCTCTTTGAATGCTGTTTGCACCAGGCAGGCAAT